TGTTTGTTTGTTCGTTTTATTCTTTTGAGTTCCTAATGGAACATAAGGCTTCAAACTTGGGCTTTGAAGTTCCAGTAGTCGTGGTGTTTTATCACGAGATGAGGTTGTCAGTCACGCGCCCAGCTTACCTTCTTCACTGAACTTAAAACAGATTAAGTGAGGTTTAAGAGTGAACCGGCCGGGGATCGAACTCTAGACCATGTGGATGATTGGCTAGCACTCTACCGCTTAACCACTGATTCACACGTGATGAGTGCAGTGAAATGATGACGTAACTAGCAGATGGGTCTCATAACTCAGCTGATAGGGCACTATTATTATTATTGTTTCCTTTAATTCCTACAGGAACATAGGGCTTCAGCCATGCGTCTCCATTGCGTTCTGTTCTGTGCTAGAGTCTTCACCTGGCTCCAAGTCTGCCCACACGTTTTCATCTCCTCTTCACATGACCTCCTCCAAGTCACCCTTGCACTGACGACCAACTCGCCGCTTCCCTTTCGGGTTCCACTCGAACAATGGCTTGTCTAGTGATGTCACTTGATGGTTTCCTCACAGTATGGCCAGCCAATCCATCTCCATTTCTTCCTGCCTATTTGTTTCACAATCGGTTCCTGGTTGGTTCGCTCCCAGAGGTCCCTATTGCTGATCCTTTCTGGCCATCTGATCTTGAGTATTGAGCGAAGGCAGCTGTTAATGAAGGTCTGTAGTTTGTTTGAGATGCTCTTTATGACGCGCAGTGCAAGTCTCTGATCCGTATAGTACCACTGACTTCACATTGGAGTTGAAAATCCGGATCTTATTTTTGATGCTGAGTGCTGCTGACCTCCACACAGGCTTGAGAGTAGTGAAAGCTTACCTTGCTTTCCCGATAGGGCTGATAGGGCAACAGACCAGTAATTTGGAGGCGCTAGTCTGAATCCTACCAATAACAGTCTGATAACCCAAGACTATATTTGATATAGTCTCAGTATCGATTACAGAATAAATTATACCGCCCAAGTTTTCCAATGTGCCAAAATACTTCACATTCTATTAGTTCAAAAAATTTAGTCATGTAAAGTGATAGGGCTAAGTTGTAAAACAAGAACAATAATAGTAGGAAATGCTTAGATTCAGATAATTTGAGGTTTCCCATCTTCCTCCATGCTCAGTTTTGCTTGCTTATAACTTCGTTACCCAGAACAAATTTTTCATACACCACGCTAATAGCTACATACGTATTGTGTGAGGACTGGTGATACTACTAAGTTGTCCAGGTTGACGTGAATAGGGCCGGAGTCGAGCCTGGAACTCATTGGCTGAGAGGCAAATATCTAAGCCAATTAGTCACATTTTCATTCGTCCCCTTTACACAGTACGACAGCAAACATAAATATCTAACTGAGCAGTACTATATTGTTGATGCATAGCTGACTTTTATCTCATGAGTCATGATTCCCTATGACGCCTAATCACGCCAAAGAATGTAAAATCACAAACTGGTAAATTTGAAGTGAAAAGTGAAAATGTGTGGTAAATTGAAAAATAATTAAGAATTAAAGATGTATGACTATTTGAGGATGGGCAATGAATTAATTGCTCCCTTCACACAGAGGTCGAAATGGAGTCTAGTATAAGTCTTTCGTCTCATTCAGAACTCATCAACCGGATATACATTTGAACCCCAATGAGCATTTATATTTCCATAAAAGTAGCTCATATACCATTGGGGACTAACCTGTCTGTCTCTGTCTGGATTCAACATAGAACTTGGCACCGAAGTGCAGCACTTCGAGTTGCCACGTTCCAAATAGCACACAAAGGTAGACAGGAAAATGAGTGAAGAGAATCAATAGAATTTAGACAAGTATAAGAGTGAAACAGAATGAGTAATGGTAGAAAGGAATATGAAAGATTACAGAGACTGAATACATCTGCATAAGCCATTGACAACGATTTTGAGCCATGTCACCTAGTGTCTCCAGCCATTGATTCTTAGAGTCCCGAGGGCCCCAACCCAGAAGTCTGCATCTCCCTACCTGACTCAGTTTAACTGTCAGGGATTTCATGGATTGATGCCATGTTTTTGTTTGGCCACCACTTACTCTTTTCCAACCTGCACCTATATCAGCTAGTAATGCCCGTCGGGGAAGGCGATGGCTAGGCATGCGCAGCAAGTGACCTAGCCATCTTAATCTATGTAACTTTATAGCCTCGTCGATTGATTTCCCCTCTTTGCCCAATACTCTACGCCTAACGTCAACATTACTTACCTTATTATACCACCTAACGTGAGAAAGAGATCGTAGACATCTATGATCAAAAACAGTCAACCTTTTCATATCTTCAACTGGGGACTGATCAATTTAGTCCAGTATATCAACAAAAACAAAAGTAATAATAACAATAATGTCCCATACTGAAGAACTAATACTCAGGAAGCAAGAGATGTAGTCATCATGACTTCAAGGGGGCTAGTGAATAACCGTCTACTACCATTTGAAAAGATAAGCAAGTCAGTTTCATTTTATTTTAGTGAGAACGCTAGCTAATACTAACGGCAAAGTACATCAAATTTAACAGCTGAAAACAGAACGAGACACGCATACTGGCGCGCATCTCTGTTGTCAACTATTTGTGTGTTTTTTTATTCCTTAAGTTCTAAGTGGAGCGTAAAGTTTCAGGCTTTCAATTTCCAGTGATATTGGGGTTTTTTAAACGAAGTGGGGTTCCTAGCCCCACGTACAACACTTTCCCTTTTCTAGGTTAACTATTGGCTGATAAACTAGGCATAATTTAGGGGGTTTGTAGATGTGGTGTCCAACCCGGACCTTCAGCATAGTTGACGAACATTCCTACCATTGAACCAATAGTAAATGCATATAAAGACGATTTTAGTGCAGGCACCATCGTGGAGTAAGCTGTCACTTAGTCAGTTAGTCCTACATATTAACAACAAGAAAGAATACAAATTTCAGCATCAGCAATTAACTTATGTTGACTAACCTACTCTAAGTTAGATTTCGCCACAACTTCACACCATATTGAGAACTGCTGAGAGCCAAAAGAGTACTCAATCCGCTGTTTTATCACAGCTAGAGGTTCCTTAGCATCAGAGTCCAAAACCCTTACGTCTTCAAATAACCATATAATCATCCAAATACCCTTTGTAAATGCAATTATTCAACTTACGACAATCTACGACACAACACACAGCAGTTACACGAATTTGCTATAGATGGAGTCATCATCAGCTACAAGTATGAGATATTTTATCTTGAAGACAATCATTTACCAAGAGGCATCTACAGAGCTTGCATAGCTGAGTTAAATTTATTCTGTCAATGAGAACACGGTGGCAGAGCGGTTAGGACGTTCGCCAAACATGCACATGGTCCGGAGTTCGATCCCCGGCCACCGACACACTCCTCTCCCTGGCTAACCCACTAATAAGACTGGTGAAGAGGAAAGGTTGGGCATGAGGCTGGCTAGCAACCCCATCCTGTAAAAATAATCACCACTGCTACAGAAAAATGTAGCCTCTACCTTGAAGCCCTCCCTATGTTCCACGGGGAACGTGAAAGAATTAAAAAAATTTAGAATATTCCACTTCTTGGAGAAACGTATATTGCACACAAAAAAGAAGATCAGTGGAGAGTGGCTCTCTTCAGAGACTTATATATATATATATATATATATATATATACATATATATATATGCTTACCGAATCTGCCCATTATTTGACCCATCCAACGACATCCTTCACGACATGGAGTACACTGGCCACAACTTTCATGTTCATAAAATTTGATAAGACGTGAAATACACTTGACCACATCAGCTGACTTATTCATGACAATCAATGCTGCTGTACCTAAACCAGAATTTGCTTGTACTAAAGCATCAAAATCCATTAGGACAGTACTGCATACACTGGAAAAGATGGAAGAAAATTATGTGTATTAATATGAAAACGTTTCATAAAAGAAATTGAGAATAAACAGGTTAGTTAGTACAAGAGGTAATTTCAAAGTAGACTTATCAACCAATTGACATCAGTTGATTCTCGAAAAGATGCTGAAAAGCAACGGTTACCCTAAAAGGTTCATTAACAAATGCGGAAGATCTGTAGGCTCCATTGTCAAGCAAATCATAGTGGGGAAAAATCCCATCTTTATTCAAATTGATTTTAAAGGTGAAAATATTGTAGCAATAGTCAACAGAATATTGAGTACGTAGCTAAGTTGGTTCCCGTCTATCGAACAACATGCTCTTTGGTGCAGTCAAAAGTCAACAGATACCCTTCGCATGTTAATTCCAACTGTGTATACAAATTTACGTGTATTTGCGGGCGCAGTTACATTTAAAGAACAGAGAGAAGGGCACATCTCCGATTTTCTGAACATGTACCGAAAAGCCTACGTCTCAAGGGGACAAACGCTTACAACAGTGCTATTGTCAGGCATCTACTTGATACGGATCATGAGGTGGAAATCGTAAAATCCTTAAAAATTATCAATAGACAAAAAAGCTCATTTCACCACAAGTTTGCAGAAGCGATTTCTATCAAACGCCTGAAATCCGATTTATGTGTGTTCAGAAAGAAGCAGTCATCACTCTTTCCTCGCCCATTCGGGTAACTGGATGTCTTTATTCTCTGTTTCACTTGATTGCGTAATCTTTGGCTTCAACCTCACCCCCACTATTTGATATAGTGTAATTTCGCTTGTCTCCTGTTCCTATGATTTGAGTTGAACTCAGTGCATTGTCATCCAATTTATTAGTTACTCATCATCTTAAGTATCTTTCGTCTTTATTACGTAACCCTTTTGCCATTGTATGCATACATTTACTTTGTTTGAGCTCGAACCCCTCGTGCAAAAAACTATGTAAGCGTAATTTTCTGAGCACTGTTCACTAAGTCCAGAACCTCCTGTCAACTGACATCATGTAAAATTTGCAAGTATGTTAAAATTGTTTCTGTACATAAACTTGATAATAATAGTAGTTTGTTAAGGCTGCAAGCAGCTGATGAGAAGCCAGCGAAATAAACGATGATGGTAACATATCATTCTGCAAAGGCTGTTATTCCTGCTTTATTCAAATAAAATATATTTCAATAGTCAGTAAGGTTTGAACCTAAACATAAGCTTTTGGCATAAAAAAATTTTATTACTATATCTAATTATAATTATGAAAAAACGAATCAAAGGAATTTAAAATACTGTACTATGTTCTACACTACTGATAGATCGATATGAGTAGTTGGGAAATACACTCACGTAAACCAATAGTGGTTAAATCGAGGTGATCTAAAAACCTGACAGCCACTTTGATCATTTGCGGCTACGCTCATCAGTACTGCACCTGTGCAGACTCACCCCTCAAAAAGTAAAATCTAGCTACCTACTCGAGCGAACTGACAATACAGGGAATCGAATTCAAAATTTATAGATTACACACATTGAAACAACTATCCAGCGTTTAGACAACTTCAGTTTAGAGCTTGCAAGTACTACACAATGATATGATTGGCTTTCAACTACTCGTGTCTATCAATTAACTAATTCAGTAGTATATACTACCCATGCTTTATTGCTTGCTTTCTTATAACTACCCCATTTTATGGATATCAAGCAGACCAAATAACGTGTGCTTTGCAAATGAACGTAAAAAGATACCACTAGAATTCACTAACTATTGTTGTCAGTTACATCCCGATCTGATCGCTTCAAACCTGATCGCTTTTTGTCGGGCATAAGTAAGTGGTCGAAGCTAAGTGGTTTTACGTTAAATCCCTCCAAATGTCAGACAATTGACTTCACCTTCAGGTATAAACATGATCTACACGAATTTGTTCGTTTAAAAGAGGCATACTTGTAGCTTTATTTATAAAGGGCATTGAAATAGAAACTAAGTCAAGCGCTAAATACCTTGGAATAGGCCTTACCTCTGACCTTTCTTGGTCATCATCCCATATCTTATCGATTTCTAAGCAAATGATACGACTAACCTTCTACATTAAGAAGTGAAGACGATCAGGAATCAGTCAACCTCTACTTTTACAATTTGTTAACTCTCACATCTCACCTATTGTTCTTCATTGCTACCCTGCCTTTCTTGGATTAATCAAAAAGGACTATGTCATATTGCGAAGGGTATTAAAGGTTGTCAGTCAGTGGGACAAATGGTGTGCCACTAAGTCAGCCAGCTCGTTACTACTGTAGTCGACAGACACCTGAACGTATATGAGAAATGGGCTAAATCCATACTGGCTGACTCTTAGCACTCTCTTTATGCACAACTTTCCCTCTGCAACTCATCACGTAGGACTAGAAGTCATTATAAGAGACTGTATGCTGGCACAACCAAGTACGAAATCTCAGCGGTACCCTATTTGGCCCGCGTTGTGTGATAGTGTTGAGTGTGTGTGGTAATGCTGAGGATGCCATGCTGTATCATTAGTACTACTTTGGAATAAAGCAAATCAATACCATTATTATTATTATTATTATTATTATTATTATTATTATTATTATTATTATAAACTTACTCTTTAGGTAATAATGGAGTAGAACTGCCACCAGGAATAACAGCTAATAAATTATCCCAACCACCGATAACACCACCAGCGTGTCGTTCAATTAAATCACGCATAGGGATAGACATTTCTTCTTCCACAGTACACGGATTATTAACATGTCCTGGAGACAGTAGAAGTGTTAAATAAAGATATATATTTACGTATTATTATACTAACAGTACAGTAGACAACAAACACAAACGTACACAACACACACACATTATGAGGCCTTATTTACGATTTTACATATATTGGTTGGAGGATTTCGTCATGAGCTGACATCGGTTAGAGAACCATTGGAAAACCACCTGGGAGTACCGGACATCTCTTTCGTCCTAGTTTGGAACTCTTCATCAGCACGTACCCACCACCAGGGTTCGAACCCAGGAGAGTCCCAAACTGGGACGAAACAGCTGTCCAGTTCTCCCAGGTTTTCCGATGGTCCTCTATCCAATGTCAGCTCATGATGAAATCCTACAAAAACAAAACCCCTACAAAATCAATACTTGAAGATTACATACATTTTTAACATAATGAAATTAACACAATTAAAGTTAAATCACATACCTAAACAGTTGGTGTTATGCATGAAAAAATAACTGTTTTATACAATTTGCCAGGTTACGCACTATTGGTTCTCAACGTCTTGAGGACTCCAGCCAGACAGGCAGTTAATACATCCATATGTGGCTCACAAACTCATGCAACCAGGTAGTAGGTTATGTAGAGTTGCCACCAGAGGTGATTATAACTAGTGTGGTGTCCGTCAGGCATGCCCATTGTCCCCATTTCTGTTTCATGTCATCATAGATGTACTTAAGGAAGTGACCCTAAACGATTTTAACAACTTAGAGATTAACTTTTTTCACCCAAAGACTAGTTTTGTCAACTAATTACAGTACGCGGATGACACTGTTCATGTAGGTGAAAGTTCTGACAAAATCCAGTCTTGCGAATATCTTAAGATGCAATCTTCAAATGTTTGGCATGCGATTTGCTCCTGCTATATGTACTACAGGACTGGACCACATCGACTCACTCCTAGTTTAAAGATAGGGAGTGAAGTGGTAGAACGTGTTGACCACTTGACATATGCCAAATTACACCATCTCTGGCTTAGTAGACGTGATATCCGGCTGGCTATCGATCAAAAGACGTGTGTACTACTCAGCAGTTTGCCCTGTCCTCCTTTATGGCTGTGAGTTTGACATTGCCGTAGAAAGTAGAAAGTCTTTGATCATAGATGTCTGCGTTCTATCTCCCGTGTTAGGTGGTGATGTAATAGGGTGAGTATGTTGCGTTGGTTAGGCGTCGAGTGTTAGATAAGGAGGGAAGGTCAATCGACAAGGTTGTGAAGGTACATCAGTTGAGATGGTTAGGACATGTGTTACGTATGCCTAACCATCGTCTTCCTCGACGGGCGATGTTAGCTGACATAGGATGAATCAGGTTGGGAAAGAGCTAGTGGTGGTCAAACGAAAACATGACTTCATCAGTCAATCAAATCCACAACAGCTAGTTTAAGCCAACCAGCCAGCCACGTAGGGAGGTGTAGACATGCTGACTGGTTGGCGTTGTCGGGACGGTAAGAATCAGTGACTGGAGACAATTGGTGATATGGCTTAAAATTGTTCTCAAATGGCTAGTGAAGATGCATTCACTCTTTGTGATTTGTCATATCCAATAAAACTCTGTTGTTCTTCTATATTACTATTCTTTCTCCCTCATATTTCTGCTTATTATCGTTCTTTCGAATCTTTTTCTCTCTTTCTTTTGTCTTCCTTTGTGTGCAACGTGGAGTGTGGCAACTCGAAATGTAGCACTTCAAAGCAAAGTTCTATGCTGAAACCAATCAGTAGGCGGCTCAAATCATTAACTAACAACATTATGGATTGATTTTTGTTGAGGAAGGCAGTGACTCAGCTTACGTATCACATATCCTCCCTAGTCATGCCAATCGATTTAACTTGATAATCTCATTGATTGATTTCCCCACTTTACTGACCATATTAGACCACTTAGCACGCGAAGTTAAACACGGAAAGGTATTACATCATAATAGTAGCAGTAGTTAATAATTAATAACAGATACTCGATGAACACGAAGTGGTTCTCGTTTAGCCCAGTGAATAACGCTCCAGCGTCTGAAACAATCGATGCAGAGTTCGAGTCTTTGTGGGAAGGATACCATTCACTGGTGATGTGGGCAAATCCAAATGACGAGTTTCAAACAGGACGAAATGCGCATCCTGCCATCCACTGTTAGCCCACATCAAACAAAATAACATAAAAGTAGTTATCATTACTATAAGTAGGTCTCCACACAAGTTAATGGTAGCAACGGTCTATTAGAAAGAAAGTAGTAAAGGCGTTTTCATAGCAAGGAACTTGTGTTTCTCTTAAAATAAAACAAACTTTATCTACCTACCTGAGATGTTGAATAACTTAGTACCACGATTTCTTTCTCTCCCGAAACTGGCGAACCAATCACCTCCACGACGACAGATAGTAGGTGCAACAGCAACTGTTTCAACATTTGTAACTGTTGTCGGACAACCAAATAATCCAATATCCGCGGGGAAAGGTGGTTTCAAACGAGGTTTACCCTAGCAGTTGGGGAAAAAGCAACAACATATACATTAGAAGTTAATTAAGCGGATAAATATGATTGCGTAAACGTAACTCTGAAAATCAAATATGCTCATCGCATCTGTCCGTCTCTGAAAAGCAGTATTTGAAAACACAGATCGTACAGAAAGGCGATTGTCCACTCACGTGATGTGGAGACACAACTGAAGTCAAAGTCTGTCTGCCTCTTTTCAACATACGACTTTGCACCGATGTGCAGCAGTTCAAGTCGCCACACTCCATGTAACACACAAAGCAAGAGAAGAAAGTAAAAGGAAATGTAAAATAGAGAGAGTAAACAGAGATATGGGACAAAAGGAATAGTAATATCGAAGAACAATATAGTTTCATTGGGTATTATAAGTCACAAGGAGTGGATGCATCTGAGCCAGCCATTGAGAACCATTTTGAGCCATATCACCGATTGCCTCCAGCCACTGATTTTACCATCCCTACGTGATTTAAACTATTTGTTGTGGCTTTCATTGACAGCTGCCATGTTTTGGTTTGACCGCCGCTAGCTCTTTCCCAACCTGATTCATCCTTTGTCAGCTGACATCGCCTGTTGAGGAAGGCGATGACTAGGCATGCGTAACACATGCCCTAACTATTTCAGTTGATTCAGCTTCATAGCCTCGTCGATTAATTTCCCCTCCCACCTACCTACACTCGACGTCTAACCTCAGTATTGCTTATCCTACTATTCCACTTCACACGGGAGATAGAACGCAGACACCTAAGATCAAAGACACATAGTCTTTTCATGTCCTGTACTCTCAAAGGCCAGGTCTCACAGACATAAAGGAGGACGGAGCCTAAGTTAAAGTGCCTAAAGGTTCAATAATAAAGTATCTTGTAGTCGTCTACAGACATGATATTGACGCTATCAATGTTTCCAGTCAGCAGACTAACAAACAGAAAGATGCTTACGTTCGCGGAGGACGCTTGCGAAATTCGAGTTTATAAACCCGGTCTCTGTGTACAAAAGGAAATGGTAGTCACTCTGAATCTACCATGGTAATATGTCTTACTTATTAACTGTTATTATTTTATTCCACCTCTTATTATTCCTATTTCTGATTCATTTAAAACTGTCTTTTATCATTACAATTATCTTAACTTGTTTTAACATTACTATTATTTTTACGAGTTTGACCACGGATTGATATCAGTTAGAGAACCATTGAAAACCAGGGAGTACTAGACAGCTGTTTCATCCTAGTGCTTGGGAATCATCGGCAATGACTTGCTACAGGACGGAGTTTCCTGGAGTTCTAGTGAGAATTCGTGACCAGTGAGGTCCATCCAAATGTCAAGTGTGAGGATGGATTTCCCACCGATGACATTGGTTGGTGGTCGCGCGAAATCACGAATTGGTAGAAGTTAGAATTCATGGACTGGCCATTGAATCGGGTCCCAGTGGCTGAATGGTATATACGAGCTAGCTTGCCTTGTAACCGGAAGGTCCTGGGTTTGAACCCCAGTTGGTGTAGGTGCGTACTGCCGGTGATTCCCATACTAGGCTGATGAAACAGCTGTCTAGTACTCCAGCTCTGGTTTTCAATGGTTCTCTAACTGATATCAATCTGTGGTCCAACTCATAAAAATAAATTTAATCCTTACAAGCCAACCTATTGAAAATTACTATTATTGTTACTATTATTAGCATTACTGTTATTTTCAATATTATTTAGTTCGCTATTCTTGATATATTGAAGTTCTTTCTCTCACTGATAACCAATTGTTTATTCAAGTGATGTGTAACTGAACCGTAATGTATTTTATCTTGATTTCATATCCCCGTGTATGTAGAGTATCCAGCTGAGCAGGAGTTCTACCGAAATTTGATAAATTCACTAAATCCTGCTTTATTAACACCTTTTGTTGCTTGTTTTAAATGCATGTTTAATCCGTCTCCATCTTCTTCGGCATATTTGTCGGTCATTAGATTCTAAGTTGGTTCGTTGCCAGAGTTCCTTGTCGACTATCCAGTCTGACCAGCCATCTGATCTTTGTTATCAGATATTAACGAAAGTAGCGCTATTAGAGAAACCTCGATGAGCATTACTTGGACATTTATACATGGTTGAATAGAGTACCATCATTACCAGAAATGGAAATCTTTTCCATACAGGATGTTTCACTTGAATTCAGTTACCCGAAGCAGATTTTTCATAAGACACACATTGTTTGAGAGTGCCGCCAACAATTATACATCTCATCCAACGGTTGTACGATAATGCTGCGTGCCAAGTAATCCCCACAACGGGAAACTCACCGAATCCTTCGACGAAGTGAAGATGGGAGTAAGACAAGCTGGCCGCCTACTATCTCCAATGATTTTACTGACTCGTGGTGATAGACTGGATAATGCGACAGACCGCGGAGGGCAACGAGGAGACATGCATAAAATAGACCCACACAAAAAACTTGGAGGATCTGGACTTCACCGATGACATATATATGTTTGATTTCCCACAAACTGGAAGATATGCAAGTGAAAAGCAACAAGTTGACAGAAGAAGCATCCAGAGAAGATAGGCCTTCAGGTGAACATAGAGAAAACAGAGGTGATGAAGATTCCTGGCCAACAGCAAAAACAATCAGCATGAATGGGAGAAATCTGAAAGTAGCAACCTCCTTTACCTACCTGGGAAGCATCGTTTCAACTACAGGCAGATGGAACTGATGAGGATATCAAAGTGACGATCGGGAAAGCAAGACAAGCTTTCATTACTCTCGAGTCTCTGTGTGGAGATCAACAGCACTACTCAGCATAAAAAATAAGATCAGGATTTTCAACTCCAATGTGAAGTCAGTGCCACTTACTATACAGATCAGAGACTTGGCGCTGCGTCACGAAGGGCACTTCGAACAAACTACAGACCTTCATCAACAGCTGTCTTCGCTCAATACTACTCAAGATCAGATGGCCAGAAAAGTTCAGTAACAGGGATCTCTGGGAGCGAAACAACCAGGAACCGATTATGCAACAAACATGCAGGAAGAAATGGAGGTGGATTGGCCATACTCTGAGAAAACCATCAAGTGACATCACTAGACAGGCCCTCGAGTGGAACCCGAACGGGAAGCGGCGAGTTGGTCGTCAGTGCAAGGGTGACTTGGAGGAGGTCATGTGAAGAGGAGATGAAAGCATGTGGGCAGACGTGGAGCCAGGTGAGAACGTTGGCAGAGAACTGAACTTCATGGAGACGTGTGGTTGAAGCCCTATGTTCCTCTAGGAACTAAAGGAAACAATTATAATATTATAATAATAATACTAAATAGCGACCCATGTTGAAGTTGGTGGAGTGGGACTCGAACCCAAGATCCAAGATAGAGAATTAGTGACCTAATCATCTGAGTAAGAGGGAATCAACTCAACGAGGTAGGTACCTTATTAAATATCAAAAGGAGTATTTATTCATGATTTGTATTCATTCATTCCACTGATTTCTCGTGAGTGACCTCCAGAAGAGAAAGAAGGCATGTGCTACTGATTGATTAAAAGGCCGTAGTTCCCAGCTACTCATGTCAATCAGCAGTGTTTGCTAGCCACATACAAATACTGTCAAAATACCAGCCGGTCGGTTTGCTCATTTAGGATCGAACCCACATGATACTCGATCTGACTCAACTTAGAGTGCTGAATCAGTTCAAATGAAGTTGAAATGTAACAGTTTAGCTACTTTTTGAGCGAATGAATCACACAGATTTGAATAGCAATCTGAAAATAGTGATAATCCCGCTAATTCTCGAACTACAGTGAACCAGAACTACAAAACTGTGAAAAAAACCAGATGAGTATTAACCTCGTGAACACTAACTGAGACCATATAGTCAATGTGTACTGAGAAAGAGGTAGGGAAGAAATGTTATCGAACAATAAACACAACACACCTGTTTTCCTTCAAGCGATTCAATCAGTGCAGTCTCTTCACCACATATATAGGCGCCAGCTCCACGATGCATATACACATCAAAATCATATCCAGTACCGCAGGCATTTTTGCCGAGTAGACCAGCTTCATAAGCCTATAATGCAAGATAATAAATAGTAACAATAAAGGTCAGAATTATGTCTGAATAGTGGGTGAAATAGTGCTGAGTGGTTTAACTCAATCAACAAGAAGCTTCTGATCTACGTCTCGTGCTTATTGGCTCTCGTTAGCGAGGCATATCTGTAACACTGAAGGGGACGAGGGCTCCTCTGAGATTCAAGCTCTCCTCACTACTCAGAATGTAGCAGTGAGAGGTGTTAACAATGAGCTGTTCGGGGACACGATTGACCACGTGTAGGACTTCAATGTTTTTATATTGACTGATCACTTGGGGTTAATCGAAGCCATGTGCCTAGTCTTCAGTTTTGGTGACCACAATACAAGTTGACAAAGAGAATGTAGTTAGCACCACCACTACTGAGGGACTATATATATTACTCTAATTACCCCCCCCACCCAAGTGACTCAACACTATAAATCAAGATGACGGTAAAAATATGTGCGGGAAGTAAACAAACAATATTATCTGGTGACTACTACAAACAATGCTATGATATATGAAGACTATGTTTGAGCTTAAAATCTTAACTCATTATTATGTTCATACTATTTGCTTTTATTTGAGTACATATACGAATTCATTGTGAGGTCGGACAATTGAATTAGAGCTTTTCTTTTATATCTCCAGTGGTCGGAAGGAAATGTTATACGACATCCACTTGCATTTTCATGAAAGTAGCGATAAGCCACACCTATTGTGTGAAAGCTAGTGATATTACCTGGCCGTCTAAACCTCGTAAGTGCAGAGAACTTGGACCAGTGACCCACTTGGTTGATAATCAAGGAAGCGCCTATACCAGTGAAACTACAGAAGCATATTGTTATCGGTAAAATAGAATAATACCAGTTTCCAAACGTATCGTTGCAAAATGTGAAAATGATCGGCTCAAGTAGCTGAACGGTCACAACAAGATTGGTCTCGTAACCTGAAGTTCCCAAGTTCGACCTTTGGTGGGTTTTGGGTTTGCACTGCTGAAGAGTCCCAGTGTAGGGCGAGACGGCTGTTCAGTGCTCCTTGGTCTTCAATGCTCCTTAATCGATATTGGTCTGTGACGACGAAATCTACATTAAAATTCAACTAAGTACTAAGTTCTGATCCCCAAGTAAATGGCAATATTCGTCTATATTTTTCCCAGTAAGCTTCCAACTAAGATCAACTAATAAAGAATATATCTTGCAGGAGTGTGATATTGTCCAAGTAATCAACCTTAAAACAAGTAATTATAATATAATCTCTTGTCCAATACTATAGTGCTAACATTCTTCTTCTCTCACGTGTACAATAACCAGTAGTGAAATAGTAAGTAAGGTGGTAAACTCAAACAAAACAAAGAGAGAGAGAGAGAGAGAAAAGTCATCATCATTACCTCTCTAATAGCCAATTGCATATTTGAAGCTTCATTATAAAATTCACCACGTATATAAATATAAGCTGCATTAGCACCCATTGCTCTTCCAGCTATAAGACAACCTTCAATAAGTGTATGCGGATCATGACGCATAATCTCTCTGTCTTTACATGTACCCGGTTCACCTTCATCTGCATTGACCACTAAATATTTAGGTCTACAGAGTTAAACACAAAACAACATAATCTCGGATCAATTATAATTGAATATGGAGTTTATTTGATATGCAACACGTAAAAAAAAACTATTCTCCAGCGTTGTAGGAAGTCAGTAGCTACCCGAATCACCTACTAGTAACGTCTTCGGCCGCAGCAAGGAGTAGATAACCCACTGTACTGAGGGATTAATGATGCTTACGTGTACTAAAAAACTAACCGAACAGTGGGTTGATTGGCTGGTGTGTGACTTTACTCTACAACGCTTCAAAATAACGTAAAATAATTGGACAAAAACAGTGTAAATGCATGACGCTAAGTACTAGTGGTTGATTGATGCGAGCTGTACTAAAAAAGAAATTGGCACAGAGAATAATTCACTGAAGGTTGGTGAAGATAATCAGAATCTGATAGTTGATATGAAGTATATACATCCTGGTGCGTCAGTGGCATAGTGGTTAGGACACTCGCCGACCATGCACATTGTCCGGGGTTCAATCCCCGACCGATGCACTCCTTTACCTCGCTAAGCCAGAAATAATGCTGGTGAAGAGGAAAGGTTGGACATGAGGCTAGCAATCCCATCCTGTAAAATAAGCACTACTACAGAAACTTCAAGCCACTAGTTTGAAGCCCTATGTTCCACTGGGGGACGTGAAGGAAATTTTTAAAAAATATACATCCTAGTTGTTGTGAACGGTTTAGAACCTTGTTACAAAAAGTCTCCGGTTATACAACCTTTAAATATCGAAAGGCCCCAAGTGAGTGGTTTACACCTCCCTACATCTTGCCTCGATTAACAGCCAATAACTTCATGGATTTGTAGTATGTTTGGTCTGGCCGCAACTAACTACTTTTCAAACGGATTTTATTCCAAGTAACATTCCTTACTGAGGAAGGCGGTAGCTACCTTGAATCTGCCTCAGATATGCTACAGCTAAACACTGAATCTCGTATCTGTACTATAGTAGGTAATCATTTATCCTGTTTGGTGATAAATCTAACACTGACTCGTTACTCCTGATTTATATCAACTGGTCAAATCTAACTACTACGAACAACCAACACGTAGATATGGTTTTAAAAAAACCATTAACCGAGGGCTTGTCTATAGCTTCCTTATTGATATGCCAATAAATAAACACTAGTTAAATATTACCTGCCATCACTAGGTTTGTTCATAAAACTCCATTTCATACCAGAAGGAAAGCCAGCACCACCACGCCCACGTAATCCAGATTTTTTAATCTCTTCAATAATCCATTCACTGCCTTTTAAAACGATTTCTTTTGTTTTATACCAATGACCCTTATAATATAAGGATAACCAGTGTTAACAGAAATGTAAAAGACAAATCTTACACGTCTCATTGCACCCTTTAAACGCCAATCATGTCGACCATATATATTAGTGAATATTCGATCTTCATCAGACAGTGGGCCGTAAGTTGTCTAAATTGTCAGTGCATGAATGAAGAAACATAAGCAAGCAAACCTTGGTGGGTTGAGTGGCAGTGGTTGGATTGGCAGTGGAAAGAGATCTAATCAGTATTACATTCTTTTCTGTAATTCAAAAATCAATGAAATTAAATGGAATAGATGGTACATTTTAATCAGATAAATGGATTTAATGAGATATTAGGAAAAAATATGAAATTCCTAGTATGATTCCACAACTCAGAAATTTATGAGCAACTGTCAGTCAGAAGTCTACCTACCAGGTGGAAACAACAGTAACATTTTCCAAGTATTGGTTTAGTGGGGATTTTTTTGATTGGTTGGAGGATTTCATCATGAGCTGACATCAGTTAGAGAACCATTGGAAAACCAGCTGGAGTACTGGACAGCTGTTTCGTCATAGTTTGGGACTCTTATCAGCACGCATCCACCGGGGTTCTCTAGCTGATGTTAGCTGACATAGGATCAGGTTGGAAAAGAGTCAGTGGTGGTCAAACCAAAACATGGCTTCATCAGTCATTGAAATCCACAACAGTTAGTTTAAGCCAAGTAGGAAGGTGTAGACTTCCTGTTTGTGGTCCTCGGGACGGTAAACACCAATGACGGCTGGAGCAAAATTGGTGTTATAACTCAAAATCATTCTCAATGACGCAGATGCATCCACTCCTTGTGACTTATAATTTCCAATGAAACTATCTTGTTCTTCGTTATTACTATTCCTTTTGTCTCATATCTCTGTTTACTGTCTCTATTTTACATTTCCTTTTACTTTCTTCTCTTGCTTTGTGTGTTACATGGAGTGTGGCGACTCGAACTGCATCACATCGGTGCAAAGTTCTATTTTGAAACCAGTCAGTCAGTCTAACTGATGTCAGCTCATGATGAAATCCTCCAACTAATAAAATTTTTAACAATATACAACAGACCACTAAATCCCCGTAAACCAACACTTGAAAGTTAATCTAATGCTCACTATTGATTGAATACAGGATGAAATTGCCTGGAGTTCTAATAAGAAGTCGTGACCAGTGGGGTTCATTAAGACCGGTATGGGAATAATTACTCGTCGATGAAATTGGCTGGCAGTAACGCAATATATCACAAATTGGTGAAAGCCAGAATTAATGAACTACTGGATTCCATTCCAGTAGCTGAATGGTCAACTAGTTCACTTCGTAACCTGAAGTTAGTGGATTCAATCCACTTGGGTTGATTGGTGCATACTCCTGAAGAGTCCTAAACTAGGACAGCACAGCTCCTTAGTACTCCTTGACTTTTAGTAGTCTTCTGATTGCTGTCAAATGATGCACAATACATCGCATATTTCAAATTATCTCCGTCTTCTAGTAATACTGTCCAAATTTATTAAAGAGGCTGATTGTTTCTCAGACTGTTATCGTGGCACAAAACCTCATGTAAGCACCACAAAGATCACGATTCTGCAGAACAACTTGTCTGTATACGTACATAGAATAAAATTTGACTTATATTAAAGAACAACCCATGAATGACGAAGCAACTAACAGTCAAAAATTTTCTATAGTGAATTAGCATTAAGCATGTAGAATAAGAATGGCTCTGTGTATGCTATAGATATATAGGCAGATATATTGCCTCTACGACAGAAAAATGGAAGACTACAACAAAAAAACCACATGTGGAATTTGCGGGGTTACCCTGGTAATTACTGATAAATTGCCCCTAAAATGATATCTAGTAGGTGATATCATGCTTGTATTATTGCCCGAAAGTTCCAGAAAGACAGAAATATTGTTAAACGCTTTAAAGGCGTTCAACAGATTTATTTATCCTAATACCAATTAATCTGTAAAGGTCTACAACTGACGTTATGCAGTTCGATTGTTATATACGCCAGCTGGAAGCCACAAACCGCTGTTAAGTAATTCAACGACCGCTACTACCTCTCAAAACACTGAAAAGGGAATCTTACCAAAGTATTCAGCGCTGGTTTACAGACCACACTAAATGCTAGCTGTGAAACTAATGGACCAATTAACACGATCGTTTTGATACTGCATCTTAGTGATGTGATCTCCATTTAAAATAATGAATTAACAAAAACAAAAACCTTTATCTACCGAGAGTCAACATAAAATTACCTTTTCTGAGTGGTCGATTCAGGAGTGCACATATATGTATATATACACTACATAAGGTCACTATATATGGAATGGAATTGTGAGTAGTACGAGGCTCAATACCTACTTACTATAACACGGAATATGCTCATATAATAAGTGGTAAAGTTGAAAAACTAGTGTTTTGCAACTCTTATCTGTTATGTTCACAATTTTATTGTATCTTCCATAGTTTAAAGCCCACACTTCTACCTTCAACTTACTGATGTGCTAAGACAACACACTAGTTTTCCCCTTTGAAACAAATAAATTGGTAAATTGGCTTACACAATGTCTAGATAAAATATCAGACTGAAAGACTATTTATTTACTGAAAACATTTAGTATATTGCCTGTAGTCACCAAAATAATAGGGAAGGATATGATGGTTATTCTTTTGTTTTTTTATCACAATTAGGAGTTACCAATTATTTATTGATCAGTTTAATTTGAATAAATGACATTATGTGACGTTACAAAACCTATCTCAAAGTCTACACGTATGAAATAAATTAGGTTAGGTCCAGGTAAGTGCCCTAATCGAAAACACCCAACAAGTGAGCCTTCAGCGAAATAGCTATAAAGCAAATAATTGCTATTGCGATGGTATTTTCGCTCACGAATAAGAACCTTTCTCAAAACATTAGCTGAAACATGACAACCTCACCCAAATGTCAAGCAGATAATGGTGCACTTATTCGTTTATTGTCGGTGGAGAAATTTTACTGTTGAATCTTAACCCTGTGATAAAAAGGCCACACCACTGGTTAATAGTAATGCAAAAGTCAGTGATTGCAATGAGATTCCGTAATCCCACGCATTGTAGGCATAAGCGTATCGACACAAAATTTATCTTTTCTTCCCAAGTAAGCGTGAAATACAGAAACCCAAGTAAAGTTCTAAGGGAAGTACTATTTTTCTGTATTAAAACCTAGTATACTGAGGAATAAAATAACTTTAAATGATCCTTTCAAACCTACAATACTTAGCCAAAAAATTCGGGGAATTTTATATATAACTGGATGGCAGTTGAGGTAGTGAATAACTATGCTTACCACTAGTTAATGAAAGAATCCTAGTGCACCTCAGCATTTTAACGCTGGCGCCACTCTTCTGACCAACATCCAATATCCATATTGCAGTTGATTTAACTGCTCTGAATTCCTGGTAAAAAGAAATGACCACCGGCTTCTGGAAAAGCTTCAGATAATCAGTTGTGCCACCCACTTGCCTTAGTTCTAGAAGATATCGATAAGAATGGAGGGTCGTTTGGGTTTGACAAAAATCTTG